CGGGTTTGCTCAGCACACGTCTGAGGGTTTGTGGGGGACCGGCTGTGGACAGGCAAGGGGGAACCTCATGATTTAGACTCCCGTGTTCATGCAGTCTCGCGGAGGGGAAGCCACCCTGGCCCCTCCCCTGTGCGATGCCAGAACTGCTTACGTTGTACTTAAATTTTGCATCATTTTGCCTCGATTTTGATAGTCTTTGGGGGATTTCAACGAAAAAATAAGCAAGCCTGTTCAGTGTCAACTGTTGAACCAGAAATACGACTCAATCCCCTGCTTGTAGCAAAAGCCTTTGAAGTAAAAGTTTGATTTTATAGAATAGGTGAGCAGCAGGGAGGAGGGGGGAGGTTCCTTAAAATGTCAAGGGTGTTTTAAAGTATGTTTTTACAACTTGACAGAGTCTGGGGAGAAAAGAGGCTTAAAACTAAAGTGTTAGGAGTGGCTGCCAATTGAAAATGAATCACAAATGAAGATAAATCACCCCTGAGCCTATAATGTGGAACAATAGGAAAATATTATCAGAATTGTAAAAATTTGATCTGCATGCAACTTTTCAGAAACATCGCTCTGCAAGCATGAATTGAAGCGAGCAGACTGGCTCCCAAAATGGGGGGGGGATCAGTCTAAGATTCCAAACATGTGTATCAGGAGATGATTATTGGATTTGAAAAAAAATATGCTGTGTTTACAGACTATACCCCACCAGCTCTTTCCTCCATGGAGATTCCAAAGAACGTTTATAAAATGCACTGACTGCCAAGACCCTGTGGAGTGTATCGATAAGACTATTAATAACATGATTTACTGAGTGTCCGCTGCTTCTATTTTTTCCGCACATGTGTTCCCTCTAATCCGTGTGGTAACCTGGCAAGCGTTCTGTCTCCATTTCATAGATGAGGGCACTCTTCAGCATGTTGACACGGCCTGCGCCAGGCCGCACGGCCACTGAGGGCAAGTCAGGCGCAGACTCGGTTTACCCTGGACGTAAACAGATCTGCGTCTCCTCAGACTTGCGGGGGCCTCCTGGGCAAGCGAGGGACGGGAAGGAGCCTCTTTTTGTCATGGCCTCTCTGTGTCTTATGAAGAGTAGACTGAAACCGTGACCCGACAGACACGAGCTCGTTGGGCGGAAGCGATGTCGCCCCAGATAGAGACTCTGCAGATCTGAGTAGCCGTGTTTCTAAGAGACCGGAGGACACAGTTTCCTGAATGACATTTTTTTTTTAGAATACAGTTTTACTTCCTCTTTATGATTTTTCTAATTGGGGTATAATTCACATAACATAAAATTCACCCTTTTGGGGAGGAGGGTATAGCTCAGTGGTAGAGTGCCTGCATAGCATGCACGAGGTCCTGGG